TATAAATATGAACAATTGTGTTGTATGCAATTACTCTGATTTTCCCATACCGATTAAACGAGTAGTGGTTATAGTAATAGTATTAATTAGAGCTATGGTGATACAGAGAGATTGATGCAGGTGCAGGCTTTCTCAGGATGGTATTACCTTGAACTTACTCATGGTTCAGGATCTAGCCCTATCAGTCTCCTAAAGATAAGCTTGAGAGTGCAAATTAGCACAAGTTCATAAGAGAGTGATACATAAAAATTACAATGTAAATACTAATTTATAATGCAGTATATTTTCAAGTGCTCATTCTTTCTGAAGACAACCTTCATTTTATTTCTCACAGTTGCCTTATATACTATCAACAGACCCTAGTGTACTAAGGTCACTACTATTTTTTAAATATATTGAAACAACAGCAAACATAATATAAATTTTGATCTGTGGTCAACAGTATTGGGCAAGATTTTGAGATATTGTCATATATCTCTAATAGGCAGAATGTGATAGAGTGGAAAGGGCATGCACCTAGAACAAAAGATCTGTCTTCAAGTTACGTTTCTACTATCAACTATCTCAAGGACTTTGAATAAGACACTTCAGTTATCTGGTTCCAGTTACTTCATCTGTAAAGTAGCAGTTATTATGATGGCTTAGGGATCAAACGAAGTAATGTTAAAGGACTAGAGGTGAAAAATAATTTAAGATGAGGTTAACATATTAAAAAATCATTGCATATAATTCACCATATTAACAGAAAAAAACCCCATATAGTCATCTTAATATATGTAGGCAAATCAATTGACAAAAAGTCATGTGTTTAAGATAAAAAGTTCTCAGCAAACTAAAAATAGAAACTTTCTTAATGTAATATAGGGTATTAATGAAAAGCCTATAGCTAACATAATATTTAATGGTGCAAGACTGAAATATTTATTCTTAAGATCAGGAACATGGCAAGAATACTTGTTTTCACTACTACTATTCAAATTGTACTGTAGGCCCTAACTCGTGCAATAAGGCAACCCCCCCCCCCC